TGGATGAGTAAGCAACAGTTCGAATCCACCTATATGCCTCGGCCAGCGCCTCACGGGTCGGTTTCTCTCCCCTGTCCACTTAATGATACATATAATAATATTTGTGAAAATATTCCAGGGTCATCGAAACAGCAGTTACCAGGCTGTCCACGAATAGTATCGAGGTCGGAATGGGGAGCTCGACCACCGACACATACCATTGGTCATCTCCCAGCTGTACCTAAATACGTCTTTATCCATCATGGTGCCACGCCTGGTTGTACCACGGAGAGCGCCTGTAAACAGAAAGTTCGGGAATATCAGAACTACCATTTGGACGGACATCGTAAGTTCATGCCACCCTAGACGTCCTGGGCCTGTGCTTTCGTAACTTTGTCATTAATACAAAGCTACAACCTTGACTACCTAGAAGTGGGGATCATCCGGTTTCGTCCTCATGCAGCCCCACCCTCCCCCAAACCATATCAAGTTCCATTCCACAGGAGAGACCCTATAACTGAGGATAGCCCGCCCTTACATACGGAAGAGACCCCCGTGAACTAAGTATAGTCTGATTGAAAATTAGAATGATGTAAATTGATGCTATCAGTGTCTCTGATACACATAAAAAATTTAGAAAACCTCTTTACAATCTCTTTAACAAGAACCACAGACATCTGATTGAAAATTAGAATGATGTTAATTGATGCTATCAGTGTCTCTGATACACATACAAAATTTAGAAAACTTCTTTACAATCCCTTTAACACCATTATTCAAGCAGTTCGCAGCAGACTTCACTTTTGTCATGCCTAATTTTGTATTGTAGATTGGCCTGATATAGGTTATACCTTTGTTATTGGAGAAGATGGAAATGTCTACGAAGCCCGAGGGTGGGATATTATTGGGGCTCATACTTACAATTATAATTATAATGGGTTAGGTAAGTACTGATGTAGTGTGCAATGAGGGAAATTTTGCCAGGAGAGTAGCACAAGCTTTTTTCTTTTTCGTTTTCCAACTGTCGAGGGATCTTTAATGTGCACAGCCTGTAGCACACAGGGCCTCTGTTTATTGTCCCATCTGAACAACTAAACTAAGTTAGAAAAATTCTGATGCCTGTGCCAGTGATTTCGAGAGTCTGCTTGGTGTCAGCTCTTATCCCCTAATACCTAGTTTCTAGAATATCACTGTTTGTAGCAAGTTGGATATTCGTATCAAAAAAGGAAAATTCTTCCAATAACATTATTTTTAAAGATTTTAATATTTTTTTTGTGCTTCACGCTATCATGCCTGTGGACTCTCTAGATTTCTTTGAAGTGATTATGTTAAAGGGACAGTTGCGCCATTTTTTTTTATCAATCATACTTTAGTCTCAGAAACTGAAACTTTTTAGCTAAGACAATCAGTAATAGTGTTCACAACTCACTGTCAAAATTTGAGCCTTCAAATCCATGTGTGTCTAGAATTATCTACGTTTGAAAGTTAAAATGACGACTCGTCTTTTCTTGAGACTCTGCCTTATATAGAAAAGATCTATATAGAAACAATGAGTAAAATTCCTAGTTTGAGATATTTTTATCCGCCCACATGAAATGGGGGGGGCGTATATTGTTGTCACCCATTTCCGTCGGTCCGTCCGTCCACAATTGCTCGTAAACACTCTACAAGACACAATTCTTGATGGATTTTGACAAAACTTGGTATGGTTGTTTGTAATCACCCTAGGATGAACCCTATAGAAAATCAGAAGAATAGAAAAATATTTAGTATAAGTTATTGCCCTTGTTCTTGAAAACGCGTTCAATTTTTAGCTCGTAAACACTCTTGAAGGGACAATTCTTAACAGATTTTAACGAAACTTGGCATGAGTGTTGGTAATCAACCAAGGATGAACCCTATTGAAAATCAGAAAAATCGAAAAATATTTAGTATGAGTTATTGCCCTTGTTCTTGAAAACGCTTTCAAATTTAGCTCTTAAACACTAAAAGGCACGATTCTTGCTGGATTTTGACAAAACTTGGTTTTATTATTCAGTCCTGGGCTGAAGATTGAATATTTGTCTTCTAGAGTTTTCACGAGCTAAAGATTGAACACGTTTTCAAGAACAAGGGCAGTAACTCATACTCAATATTATTCAGTATCGCCCTAAAGAGTTCAAAAGAAGTGTATGACTGAAGGTTGAATATTTCATACTGGTAATTGTTACTGTATTGCCAAATATTTTTATTCAAAATCAAAGCTGATAGTGGGCGTATATTATCTTGCCTGGCAAGCTATCTATGAAGGAATTATGTGATTTTCATACATTTCTAGTACTTCTGAAGACATAATTCAAAACGCAAATCA